GCCCGGCCATCCTTTGGTTGCAGCTGTCGTTGTTTGGCGGGCCCGGGCTGGATTCAAACCTGCCACCTTAGGTGTATGTGGCTGGCGCCTTAGCCACTTGAGCCACAGGCACCAAGCCATTTCCTATAATTTTCAAAAGTTGCCTGTTTATTTTGATAGATTGCCTCATTCTGCAGTGTTTTAAAATTATGTTTATATGGCATATGTATTTTTTTCATTATTCATAGCTCCTTCACTGTTGGAATTGAGTTTGGGTTAAAAATATCTAATTTTTTTTTTTTTTAAAGAATTTTCAGGAGTAAAAGGATTTAACCCTTTTTCTGTTCTTCACCATCTACCATAGCCAAATGCTTGGGGGTGTTTCTGTGTCTGGATCTAGTGGGTCTGGGGAAGGTGGGGGAGGGTGAATAATGAGTAGGGAATTTGACCTCTGGGGAGGCAGTCTGTTTCTCTGTGCTTACTCTGGGCTGCATGTAGCCTGAGAACTCACAGCTTCCCCCTTGAAGTTTGGGGATTTTGAGACAAGGGTTTTATTTTACTTTTTTTTCAGAGAGCTCAGTATGTGATTTTTTTCAGAGAAAATGGTTGACTATCTAAATTTTACATGGTTTTAGGCACTTAGAACGAATGTATTGTTGTTTTTAAAAATATTTTAAAGAAGGAGACAAGGGCAGGGGGTGGAATGGGGGGAGGGGGGCAGCGCCTGTGGCTCAGTGCGTAGGGCGCCGGCCTCATATACCTAGGGTGGTGGGTTCGAACCCTACCCAGCCAAACTGCAACAAACAAATAGCCGGGTGTTGTGGCAGGCACCTGTTGTCCCAGCTACTCAGGAGACTGAGGCAAGAAAATCACCTAAGGCCAAGAGCTGGAGGTTGCTGTGATGCCACGGCACTCTACCAAGGGTGATAGTATGACTCTGTCTCAAAAGAAAAAAGGAGAGGAGTTTTATAAATTCAGATTATATGTTAATTGGATAACTCTCCTTAACTTGGATTACATCTTTTATTAAGGAAGACTATAGGTTAGGTGTGGTGGCTTAGGCCTGTAATTCCAGCACTTTGGGAGGCTGAAGTGAGAGGATCACTTGAGCCCAGGAAATCGAGGCTGCTGTAGGCTATGATCACATCACTGCACTTCAGCCTGGACAACAGAGCAAGACTTTGTCTCTAAAATAAAATAAAATAAAAATATAAATGAATAAGTGAATGAATGAATAAATAAATAAAGACCTTGTATTAATGACACATGCTTTCCTATACCCATGCCTTCAGGAGAAATTAGAACATCAGTATGCACAGAGCTACAAGCAGGTTTCAGTATTAGAAGATGATTTAAGTCAGACTCGGGCCATTAAGGAGCAGTTGCATAAGTATGTGAGAGAGCTGGAGCAGGCCAATGATGACCTGGAGCGAGCAAAAAGGTAAATGAGTACATGCATTTTGTTAGAATAAACAAAGTTGGTAATTGGCAATTAAAATCTTTACCATTAGGCTCTATCTGTCACCTTGGATCTTAATCCCAGAACATTTCCTTTTGGTATTTCTTGTCACCTGTAACTCACTGGATTGAAAGGAACTAAAAATCCTTATCTCCCCAGGTAATTCCCTTCTAAGTGTTCCTCCAGTTTTTCCCCTTTCCTTCTTCCCCATGTACCATTGTTGGTCCTATTGACTTTTCTTTAAAACATGCATTCTTCCATCTTCCCTCTGTTTTCAGTACTTCCATAATGCCTGTAGTCCTTAAGATCTTATACCTGGATCCTGTAGTTATCTCCTAGCTGATAGATCTTTATAGTTTTGTTCTTTGTCATTTGTTTCTATCTTAATAGTGACTGATGGATTTTTTCAAAATGTTGTTTTCATTATAGTTTTCTTGTCCAACCTACAGTGTCTTGCTTTTACTGTTACCAAACTTTCATGCATCTGTAATTAGTTTTTTAATCATTCCAAACTTAATTTCTTTTACTTTGCAATTATCATCTGGCATTTCTTTCTTTAATATTTGTTGAGTCACTCTTAAGTGACTGACACGATGCTAGGGTTAAGGATACAGAGCTAAGCTAGTCACTGCCTTTAGGGTGACAGATACGGACATTCACTGTGATAAATGCTCTAGTAACAAGAGTGCAATAGATTGTTCCAGGGTGTAGAGAGGGGAGCAACCAAAGCACCTGGCAGAATTGGGAAGCCTTTGCAGATATTGGAGGTGAATCAGCAAGGACTAGAAGTTAACCAGGTAAAGAGACAGATGCAAAGGCAGAGAGGCAGGAAAGTGCTTGAGCTATTACTGTTACACTTTGATGTGTTGAGATACTATAGCTGAACAAGATGAGCCTGGGAGGTGTTGGGGCCAGATTATGAAGAACCTTGTATACTGTGTTTGAAAGTCATTCTCTAAGCAGTGGAGAGCTCTTTTAAGATTTTTTTAAAAATAAAGGTACTATTAGATTTTGGTTTAAGAAGATAATACAGAAAAATTGGGAGTAGTGAGGAGATGTAAAGATCATTTAGGAGTAATTCAGGTGATGGATGAAGAATTAAAGATTGGGGCAGAAGGCTGAAGAAGAAATGAATTTGTGAGACATTTTGACAGTTGTCAGGAATTGATGAAATTGGACATGGCATTAAGATATCTAACGTGAGGTCAGGGAATTTTATTTCTATAGTAGTTAGCAGGTAGTGAGAGGGGCACTGAGCAGGTGCATGTTAATGTTTGTTGAATGAATGACTGAAAAATAGCAGGAAGAAGAAAAGAGTTGGCAGGAAGTAAATGGAATGTGACCTGAGACTTAAAAGTTTTAAATACAATTTTAGTTCATTTTTACATATCTAAAACTATTGAAAGGTTTTCTCTCCAAGATTGTGCGAACTTGATCATATTGTGTTTTAAATCCAATGGAGCAATAAACAGTGTGACAGATAGCCTTTCTTTAAGGAATATTATGGAATTTAAATAGAAATTTAAGAAAATATATTGAATGGTTCACATGATAGTAGAGATAGTAAATGCCACTGGAGGTCAGGAAGGGAGTGAGGTTATTCTCTTTGAATGGATTCAGGCTGTCTAGCTCAGTAATCATAATGAGATAAACTCGTAGTTTACTTTTGTATTAGCTGTTTGTATGTGTTATTTAATTCATGGATCCTAATTTTTCTTTTTAGGGCCACAATAGTTTCACTGGAAGACTTTGAACAAAGGCTAAATCAGGCCATTGAAAGAAATGCGTTTTTAGAAAGTGAACTTGATGAAAAGGAATCTTTGTTGGTCTCTGTACAGAGGTTAAAGGATGAAGCAAGAGGTAAAATTTATAACTTAAATAATATAGTTGATCCTTGAACAAGATGAGTTTGAACTGAGAAGGGCTGCCTATACTTGGGTTTTTTTTTTCAAACAAATGCTGGATTGAAAATACAGTATTCATGAGGGGATGCAAAACCTGAGTGTAGGTGGAAGGAGGTGTGACTTTTTGTATTTATGTGGGTTTCACAGGGTTGACTTCAGGACTTGAGTATACACCAATTTTGGTATACACAGGGGTTCTGGAACCAATTCCCTGAGTATACTAAGGAACGACTTATAGTTAGCCCCTACCTTACTGTCCCCAAACCAGAGGAAGCTAAGGTTAAAGATCAATTTCTAAAGAGTGGCACTTTTGTGCACTTTTTCAAGTATTATGCTTGAAATTTTTTGTCCAGTGTTTACTGTTTCTTTTAAAGATTGTTTTTTCATGCCTTTTAATTGTTCATTTATTTAATACCTGTATTGTTTTTTTTTTTGTTTTTTTTTTTGAGACGGAGCTTCAAGCTATCCCCCTGGGTAGAGTGCCATGGCATCATGCTCACAGCAACCTCCAAGTCCTGGGCTCAAGCGAGTCTCCTATCTCAGCCTCCCAAGTAGCTGGGACTACAGGCGCCTGCCACAACGCCTGGCCATTTTTTGGTTGCAGCCATCGTTGTTTGGCGGGCCTGGGCTGGGGATTCAAACCCGCCACCTTAGGTATATGTGGTTGGCGCCTTAGCTGCTTGAGCCACAGGCGCTGAGCCTAATACCTGTATTGTTAATGCAAAGAGGTAGATATTACTATTTCCATTTTATAGATAAGAAGACTGAGGCACAGAGAGTTTGAGTTTTGTCCAAGGCAGTGTAGCTTGTCAGCTGGATGGAATTAAAACCCTGGTCTGTTTTCCAAAGCCTTAACCAGTACCACTGCATAAACTGGTTGGTATTTTGGGGTTTTTTCCTTATTGCCTTTACCTAAATAATTTTTGTGTTATGCATATAACACTATGTTCATTCTTTCCTATACATAGTTACCATTTGCTTTAAAATTTTCCCTCCCTCCCTCTTTTTTTCTTATGCATGATAGAATATAGAATATCATAAAGAAGACAATTAAAAATCACTGCTAATCTCTTTATCTGGAGGGAGCCCACAAACAGTTCAGTGAATGTCTTTCTAGTCTTTACTGTGATTACACATAAACATATCTATGTATTTTTTTCTTTAAATAACCAGGACCATGTACAGATGCACAGAGATGCACACATGCTTCCTTTTTTCCTTCTTTTTTTTTCACTCCTTAATGTAGTGATTTTAATACATGCCATTAAAAAAATCTTTTCATACAGATTTTAAAAAATGTTATCTGTTATATAGTTATGTTTTATTTAATGAGATCCTTATTATTGATGGCTGATTTTTTGCTATAGTGCTATGACTAGGATCCTTATACATAATATTTAGGAACACCTGATGATTTTTTTTTTTTTAATTGTTTGTGATTCATTGAGGGTACAAGATACCAGGTTATGCTGATTGTATTTGTTATGTAAAGTTCCTCTTATAATTGTGTCTTGCCCACAAAAGTTGTGTCACACACCGAGACCCCACCCCCCACCCGATGACTTCTGAAGTGACAATGGAGATGAATGTGTTAGTGGTACCTCCACTCTTCTGGGGGTGACTGAGAGTACTCTGACATTCTGTACCATCATTGTTTCTATTATTTTATTTTATTTTAATTTAATTAATTTTTTATTTTTGAGACAGAGTCTCACTTTGTAGAGAATCTTACTTGGTAGAGTACTGTGGCATCACAGCTCACAGCAACCTCAAACTCTTGGGCTTAAGTGATTCTCTTGCCTTAGCCTCCCAAGTAGCTGGGATTACAGGCGCCTGCTACAACACCTGGCAATTTTTTTGTCGCAGTTGTCGTTGTTTAGCAGGCTGGGGCCAGGTTCGAACCTGCCTGCCTCGGGGTGTGTGGCCAGTGCTCTAACCACTGAGTTATGGGCACCGAGCCCAAGAATACATTTTAAAAAGATTTGAAAATCAATCCATTTGAAAGTTGAAAATTACTATCTTATTTTTTGATTTGCAGTTTTTTGATTACTACTTGTGAAAGTTTTTGTCCAGTGTTTACTGGTTCTTTTAAATGTTTTTTCATGCCTTTTTTCCTGAGAAGGTGGTGAGGTGATGTATTTATCTGAAGAGCTTTTCATAATGGGTGTGCTATTTATTTATAATTGTGGTTAAAACACACACCATAAATTTGCCATCTTTTTTTTTTTTTTTTTGAGACAGAGCCTCAAGCTGTCGCCCTGTAGAGTACACAGCAACCTCCAACTCCTGGGCTCAAGCTAGTCTCCTGCCTCTGCCTACCAAGTAGTTGGGACCACAGGTGCCTGCCACAATGCCTGGCTCCTTTTTGGTTGCAGCCATCATTGTTGTTTGGCGGGCCCGGGCTGGATTCAAACCCGCCAGCTCAGGTGTACGTGGCTGGCGCCTTAGCCGCTTGAGCCACAGGTGCCGAGCCAAATTTGCCATCTTAATTTTTAGATGTTTAGCTTAGTGTAGTGTTCATTATACTCACATTGTTGCATAAAAATATTTGCATAACTTTTCATCTTGCAAAACTGAAACTGTTGAACAGCAGCTTCTTGTCTTCCCCTCCCCTTGCCCCGGCAACCATTTCTGCTTTTTGTTTTCTATGAATTCAGCTATTTTAGATACCTTATATGAGTGAAATTATGAGAATTTATGATTGGTTTATTACACTTAGCATAATGTCCTCAAGGTTTATCCAGGTGCAACATGTGATAAGATTTGCTTCTTTGTAAAGATCAAATAATATTCCATAATATGTATTTATTTTCTTTATCCATTCATCTGTGGATAGACGTTTGGGTTGCTTCCATTGCTTAGCTGTTAACGATGACCAGATAATTTTTCTATTATTGGTAGAGATGGGATCTTGCTCTTGCACAGGCTGGTTTGGAACTCCTAAGCTCACCCTTGAGCCTTCCCACCACAGCCTCCCAGAGTGCTAGGATTGTAAGCGTGAACCACCACAGGGGCCTGATCTTCCTGTCCCCTCCCCTCCTCTCCCCCTCTCCCTTCCTCTATCCCCCTTCTCTCCTCTCCCCCCCCTTCCCTCCCTTCCCCTCCCCTCCCCTCCCCACATCCTCTCCCCCCCCTTCCCTGTATTCTTAGGCTAAAATTG